ATCACCCACCTGCACAAAGTTACACATCTGGACTTGTTGGCAGCAATGGTTGATAATTGTATTTCACCAGCTTGTTTAGATTCAGGCATGTAAGCCTTATAACCACATTGCTGCAAGAATGGAATTGCATCCCTAAAACCTCTATCAAGAATAAATACATCGTTTTCTCTAAAATAGGTTCGCAGTGGACTATTATCGTTGAACAGTCTAAGAATTATAGAAGCATCTGATTCTGTTGCAGGATATGGTCCAAAAACATCAAGGATATAACCATTACAGCACACTATTAAAAATGGCTTAACTAAGTTACGATACTTATGTAAACTATATGTGTGCTTCTGGTATAAGTAATTACTACTTTTTTGCACATAAATGTATGTACCATCACATATTACTATGGCTGGCATAAATTCAGGATCCATATCTGGATTACCAAACAAGCCATTTGGTATTGTCAAGTTATATTGAGCAACTTGTTGAATGCATAAGGTATTTGTCCCTAAATGCAGTTGGATGAATTGCTCTTCAAAGCACTGACTTACAATATTTAAGTGATTGAACACAGTCGATGAAGCTACATTAAACAGAGAAGCTATGCGTTCATTGCTATCACCTGTACGAAGTTTCACTAAGAACATAGCTAGACTTCTTTTAGGTGATTTAACTCTTTCACTGATAGATGGAATTTCAACTAGTAACTGTTCAAATTGGTAGTTGGTAAATCCTAACCAATATTTGCATAATATTGAATTATGTTCAATGATAATTAAAATATTATAATTTTGAGTAACACTACTTTTAAGTAAGGAACAAAGGTTGTCTATCTGAGATGCAGTAAAATCTGAACAGTTACTACTCGTGTATAAATTATTCCAATCATTGTGGGGTTCATTTAAATGCTATTCACAAATACGAGCGCACAGTGGCACATAAAATGAGTGATCTATCAGCAATCTCTCTTTAAGTAGTTTAGGTATTAAAAATCTAGATGAATGATTACATGACTTAAAAATACAGTGACGGGAAGTAGAAGCAGCACGCTTATAATTAGCCATAGTAATTGTTGATACCGCTCTGGAAATGGCAGGGGTTACAGGTGCAGGTATAGGGGGTGGTTGTGGGATGTTACCGATGTCTTCTATATTCATGGATTGTAACTCAATATCCCTGTTCTCATTTTGTTGTCTCTGTCTCCATACAGCTCTGGAAGCTCTCAGCCAGCAAGGACTGCATACTCGTTCTAAACGATCCACCTGAAAAAAAGTTATTTTTTATCAACTAACAAAATGAACTATAGTTTTACAGTGTCTACTCTAAATATTAATAATATTTATTATTGTTCTATTTATTTCAATCTTTCTAACACTAAATAGTTTTAATGTCTTTTAAAATTATAAATATTAGCATGCAATTGTTTCCCCTCATAATATTTTTGTGGCACTACTTATTTAAATAGAAATAAATAATACATCACATATCAGACAAGAAGTAATTATTTTAGAATTATTAACAATATTTCACTAAGCCCAAGTTCTTTAAAGTTTCAGATAACATTGAATGATTAAATTGAAAAACTGTCATTCTTTACGAGTTGGGGTACTTTCAACTAATTATAAATAATTTTGTAAATCTTAACAAAACAGAAAAGATTTGATCTTGATTCTCTAGGGTGAAATATCGCTTCACTAGATCGATTTAGTACTATATATCGATATGACATTGACAGATGAAACGTCAAAAACGTAAGAATATTTAATTAATTAGTTGTTTACCAATATTTTCAAAAAATAAATAAAAATACTTCGATGCTGCTCCGGTAGCAAAACTCGCGTGTAGGTGCTTCAGATAAACTCCCTTGACGCCCCCCACAGTAACAGAATCTTCAAATTGAGGCGACCGAATTGTAAACCCAACCCGTTTTATTTATACTAATGTCTTTTAAGGTAAAAAATATTACTTGTATAATAAGTACAAAAGCATACAAATATGGGTGTAAGATAAGGAAGAAGTATCGTTCATCTAATAACTAAAAATAAAAAAGTGGTTATTAATGGCAAATATCCCCCCATAAGACAATCTATGGGGAGTTCTATGTTCAGCAGTAGACTTTTGGTAGACTGTAAATTTAAAGATAACCTGTTAGTGAACTGCCATGTTGAATGAGCATAAATATCAGACCAAATTGTATGCAAGGTGTCTGATTTTACAAACATCAATCTGTGTACCAAAGCGATTGTGGCAAATCCTCTGGGCTGCCTATTTGAAGCAGGGGACCATTTACAGCCTTTTAAAATAAAGTAAGTACCTGGTGTGATGGTATCCACTGCAAAATATTATCTCTTTCTTCAGAGTTAATAGGCACAATCCGTCTACGGTGTGCTCTTAAAATTGAAGATCCACATAGAATACAAATATTCCTGTACCCAAATCTTCTAATGGAGTGAGCAGATGCAACACTTTCTTGCAATATTCTTAGGCAGTTACAACAAACTGCATCAAGTGGGTGTAACTGAAAAAATCAGGAATTAAAAATAAAAGAGTAAATAAATATTAAGTTCAGATAAATGTACATTTTGAGGAGGGAAGCGAAGTTGGCATGAAAGTGAATGTTTGATGTGGAAACCTATATTATTTGAAATACAATACATTTTCAATTAAAAAAAAATTGGAAATCCAAAAGACAAATATCGATTAATATATTATGATTTTACAATATTTACAGTATTTCAGGTATATCATATAGTGATAAATAAACTTTATAATATTAGAGTATTATGGAGTTGTGTAATATTAGTAATATATGGGGGAGGCCTATGTTCGGCAGTGAAGTTTAATTGGCTGTAACGGTAATATTACAGTGGATTGAAATATTTTTCATTGCACAAAATAACTTACTTTTCTATTTACATAATATTTTATCGTGAATAAATATTGACACATATATACCTATACTTTTTCGACTTTGATTTCTGATTGACTGACAAAAGATAATTAGACACACATAACATGTGATACATCATACCATGCCACAAAAACTTCTTTTGTGTATATTGTGTGACTTTATTTTATCTATTATTTAAATTAGATTTCACTAATAACATAAAATTTCAATACTTTTAACATTTAACACATTAGTAAGACCTGTGTTTATCATTTGTTAAAGGTTAATTCAGTATAAGTTATAGATTTTACAAAATACTAGGAGGAAAAAATAAACTTTTATATTACTCACATGGACTTTTACTCGTCAGTTTGCATTTTCGAATGTCATTGGCAAATTATATACATAATTGTGATATAGGTATTTAATATTTGACTTACGTGCATGATATAACCCTTAGGTTAAACATTTTTTGCATCAATTAGACATTAACATACTAATCCACTTGTAAGCAGTAAAACTACGTGAATTTTCATTTTTAAACTTTTACTTTAACACGAACACAGTTTACATCAATTTAAACAAACAAGTTTATACCATATTATATTTTTTCTACCAAATAGTTTGAAACAACAGACTTTTTTCTTACAGTCAATGCCAGTCAATGGAGTCAATGCAAAGAACTATGCCTGTAAGTTGGTAAATAGCAGGAAAGAATGCAGTGTCATCTTGTGTCAAAATGTAAAATAATTCAATCAATATAATATATCATTTATCAATTTAATATAACGAAAGATTAAAATTATAGCTATAGAAGGTATGAATTTATTAATAATATGAAGGGATATTTATTATTACTTTTAAAAACTTAAAATAATTAAGTACTTAATCATGTATAGATCGTTATGTGTGCCTGGAGTCTGTGGATCGTTTTCTTTCGTATTATTTCTAAAAAATCGTACCATATCCCATATTATTCAACAAAAATAAAAATATTATGTAATACATTAATAAAGAAAATATGTAATTTTCGTTTCCGCAGTATAGTAATATTGTTGGAATAAAATCGAGAGTAACAAAAATAATATATATTTCTCATAAAGTTTAAATCTAGATAATATGTAAGTAGATAGATTGTATAGTGCAGTCATTAGCTTTCCATGAGATAATATTATACCTACCTCATGAGAAATCCACACAAATAAAAGTTGGCGCACATCAGCAGTTGTCTCGGCCAGTAATTGTCTTCGCACACTGCGTTGAAACCTGACTCCACAATTGCAACATACACTTCTATTTTCATTGTATGCTGATCTAGCAGATTCCATTTTCTTAAAATCGCATATAAATACAAAAAAACAGTAGCGTGACGAACGTCAATGCCGTTAAGATTAAAGACGTAGGTAATACCCCGCCGCCCCGCCCCGCCGTACCCGGCTGCCGGCCGCTGGGAATTACCGGAAGTCAATGATAAAATAACGTTTTGGTTCACAGTCATTTAGAACTATGTTATAACGTGATATTAGCTAAAATTTTTAGAAATTAAACATAAAGTTCTTAGTGGTATCTTTTTTAAGTCAGCTTTGTGAAAAAATAGTTTTCTTTTTATACAAACTGCAAAATGACTAATTAGGTACACGCATTTTACCCATATTACACTAATCAGAACACGAATATCAAAACAACTAATTTTTTTTCATATTTCTTGATTCCGTTTACATTTTTGAAAAATCTGTAGGCCATTTACTATTATAATTTGGTGTCTTTTTTTTGATGTAATACCATTAAGTGACGTTAATATTTTTAGTGGGCCCAAAAATGATTGTCCCCTTTGGAATGAATACTACCAAGATTAAAGCTTAACTTTGGTTCAATTTGATTGTGTCATAAGGAGATGACAAAATAAAAAATAAAAATCTTTTCACATATTTTATATAATATAAGATTATAAGTAGCACATCTATTTGTCGCCTAAACTCGTCGATGTATTAATCGTGATCGATGAAATTGGTCTCGTCATATCAGTGTGTAGTATTGAGAAATTTATATTTATTAGAAAATAGTTTGTAAATATTGTTATTAATATCACAATTTCATAACGGATTCTAGCCAGTTTTGTTTAGAGCTTGCGTCGGGCTCTAGGACGGTGATACGACGGCCTCGGGACACGGACGCGTTCATTACTGTCGCCCACTTGGCTCAAACTCTCTTCGAGTGGTTCTGCGCGAGGCGTGAATAGCTTTCTTCTACTGCGTGCTACACTAAAAGAACAAACACTGGTTAAAATAGTAATTTAAAAAAAACTTAACTGTCTAAAAAAGTTTATTGAGAAGATAAAAATTATATACCCTATGTAAATTGTTCAACTAAGACGCACCTAACTACACCAAAGAATTATGCATACATACATACACTGTACACACAAGAAAACATTAACATCATGTAAAATAATCGCCCATATAGGTCTCTAGGCCATCTAGGTAGAAAAAATTAGCCGCGCTGCTGCCCCAATGCCATAGTAAAACAGAATAGGAGGATAACGCGCAAGACTTAAGTGCCTACTGATGCAGGGTTGTCACTATATTTTAGTTTAACATCTAAGTCTCATTTAGTTTTATAAGTAGTTATAATATTTACAAACATAATACATACGGATGTGTACATTTCAACCACAGCCTATCAATATTTCATTGATGATTTCAAACTTTTTATGACCTTTGTTTTCCGCAAATACAAGTTTGGATAAAAGTCAATGATAAACCAAAATGGGTTTCCCATGGAGTCAAGGTTTGCAGTAGAAAGAAAAACGATTTGCTTTGGAAATTTAGATTAAGGGGATAGAGTAAGTCAGCTCAAATTCTAATTTCGTCCCCACTTGCCCGCGCGTCATATGCTATGTACCGACATGTTTGTAATCACTAATACTGTAAGTAGAAAGGTCGTTAGACACTTATTTCATTAGGTTTATCATATTTATGCCTGTTTCTTAACGCCAAGCCAGTCGCTTCTTATTTTTATTACGGTTATTTCCCATTTTACTTTTACGTCATCCTGTTGCGTAATGTATATTCTGATTGTAAGCGACACAACCTCCCCGTTCAAAGGCCGAAGCGAAGTGACCGTGCGCCAGGAATCACGCTTCAAAAGGCCGATAGTTTAGGTAATTTCTTTTTACAGTGAAAATAATGGTATTTTAAAAAAAGTAAATAACATAAGCACTGCTTTATAGTTAGTTCAGTTAGTATGCAAAGTTTCGTGATCTTATTTAAAGTATTTTATGAATAACAGCGGTTTATTGTTTATTTTGGAGGTAACTTTGGATTTTTTTTCTATCGAGAAAATTTTACGAAATCGTGTTTTCGTCTAACATAATCATTAACATTAATCCTCAACTTTACCATATATTTATTTCAAAATAATGCTGCAATATTTTCGGCATAACGAAGGATTTTGCTAAGCCATTTGAGATTATATTTCCCCTTAGATTCAACTAAAGAGAACAAATTAAAATAGTAAATTATTTAAAAAAATTATATCCTTAACGAAACATGCACAAAATAATTATAAAATAAAAATTTCAGATAATAAAACAACATGGCAAATTATAAACAAAAGACTCGATATACCTAAAGAAACTATTGTCAACATAAAAATTAATAATTATTTTGTTGAAAAAGTCAACCCCTTTCCGGATGCAGGTAAAAACGTAACTACTACAATTAACCATCAATTAAATTCAATGTTTTTTCCACCAAGTTCACCATACCAAATAAATAAGATTATAAAACATTGAAAAACACGAACAGTGGGATACGATGGTATTTCCAAAAAAATAAAGTTGTAAATGTATATGTTAACGACTTGCCAAATGCAACGACTCAGCCTATGACATTATTTGCTGATGACAGTACTGTTACAATTGTATGTAAGGACATTAATAATTATAAATTTGACATTAAAAACGCATTGACATCTATAATTTCATGGCTAAACAATAATAATTTAAAAATTAACTTAACGAAGACAAATATGATGCACTGTGGACAAAGATCACAAAACTCATTAAATGTTAATTTGATTTATCACAATTACACTATAAATGAAGTTACTACTGCTCGTTTTCTTGGCTTAATTATAGACAGTAAATTAAATTGGAAAGTACACATTAACGTATTAAGCAAAAAAATCAGCAATTTTTCATATGCCCTTTATAAACTTGCTCCAACTATCAACATTGATGCACTTTTCTCGGCATATTATGGTCTTGTTGAATCTGTTCTCGGATATGGCATCATTTTTTGAGTCAACTCAACAAACACAGACATGGCATTTAAAATGCAAAAGCGATGCACACGGGCCATGTTCGGTATTCCAAGTACGGAGAGCTGTAAGCCATTATTTATTAAACACAAAATTCTTACACTTCCGTCGCTATACATATTGGAAATAGCTTATTTGTTAGAAGTAACCCACACTTCTTTCCTCGCCTATCAGATAATGTAAAACGTAATCGACGAGATAACAATAGACTATGCGTTCACCAGGCTAAAACAGGGCTTTAACTTATAAAAACTTCCATAATATAGAGAGACTTTTCTATGAAGAAGTTTGGCATTATATAATCAATATGAAATACTCATTTATTTATCCTTTAGTGCAATAAACTGTAATCCTATGAATATTTATTTACAATCTACGTTCATTTCGTACGCCATTTTCGCGTGAATGTTATTGTGTTGATTTTTGTATTTTTCTAGTGTTTTATTAATGCTTTATAATAGTGTTTTATTATAAAATTGTAATGAAAGTTTTTGTGTGAATATAATGTATCTTTTTACGTAAATAATTTCGATTAATATATATTGAAATAATTGTGGTTTTCACGCTGCCGACATTCACTCGGTATGTTTTTTTTTTATTATCAAAATACAATACAATCTTTTTGTTATGAAGTAAAACCTGACTTTAGTTTAGACCACAGGATAGAGAATTTTGTATAGATTTTATAATGCTAAACTTCTTCATAGAAAAGTCTTTAAATATAAGTTTTAATTGTTTTAAGTGCTGTCTGCAACCAACCGGTCGCATGCGACCGCTCCGGATTTGCCGGGCGCATGCGACTGCATGGGATTTTTATGGCGCTTGAAGGGTTAATATATAACAAAATTCCAAATGACATTATACAATTGAATACAGACCTACTTAAGAAAACATTTAAAAAATATTAACTGCAAAAAGCTATTATAATGTTAATGACTTCCTTAGCGACAAATCTTTATGATTGTAATAAACCTATTTAATTACGCTGCTCATATGCAGCGTGATTGCGGAGCGCGAGGGTCGGCGTCACCGACTCGGCCCGATCTTCCCGACTTAGCAAGTGTCGTTGTGTGCGTGCTGAGGACCGTGCGTACGTGTCCGTACTATCACATACCAGGCACGCAACATATTAGCGGCGTTCGATACATTTCTCAGAAGATAGCCTACTATTCTGTTTTTACTACGCCAATGCGTACTGGTAGAGTACATATCCTCCTCGAAATGTTATACATTTTCTTATACTCAAATATTCAAACGCTATTCGATTTTAAGATGTCATTAAATCTCGTGCTGTCTCTATCAACCACGAAACAACGACATCTTAAAATCAAGTACCATTTGAGTATTTCGCCATTAAATATGCAGATTTCCTCACGATATTTTCCTCCACCGCGAAATCAGCACTTAAAATTAAAATACGCCATATGGGGGCAGCGTAAGAAAATCTTTAAAACAATATCCCGTGGGTGTCGTAAGAGAGGGTGGGCGAGCGTTTCCACCCTAAAGAATCTACCCTGGAGTGGATACTCGGAAACGTTTATCTATCCACCCCAGACAGGGTGGATAATCGGAATTCGTAGAGAGTAATGAGGGAAAACCCTCAGCTGTGTACAGTCATTTATAGAAACATGATAAAAACTGGCTCAAGATACTTATTAGACATTACCTATAAAATACATACTTCTTGTTTGAAAGGTCAAGGCTGAAATAAAAGGAGTACCTTACCGGATTACAGATCCATTGGAACCTTCGCATAAAATAATTCAAATTGAAGTTAGAGACAAACTTCCAATCGTAGCAAACAAGCATGTAACATTTGTTAAGTGGTAGAGCTATGCTGCCGCTATACAAGTATTATGGTTGTAGCACGAATGGGTCGCCTCGACCGGGGAAGGACCACGCTTTCACAGAATAATAGAAATGAGGCATTCCATCTTAGTCCTCAGGGGTGAAAACATATCTACGTTTTGATTCATAATCGAGGATATATGTAGATTTCTATGGGACATCAGGAGGACTGCGTGCTCGTTTGTCACCCTTATTCTATAAAAAAAGTGATTCGAATGCTTGCGAAAAATGCACAGTTCTTCGCTAACACATGTGGTGGCAAAGAAATTTAAAAACGATTGAAAATGTACATTAAAAGTGATGAATTTATCAAGGATATCGAATTATGTTTATTCAATAATGAAATGAGTGTTGGTAACTGCCTGGACATATTGAAGAATATATAAATTACTCAACAATATTATTTAAAACGAAGTTTAATTTGATTTCAATGCAATACGCAATGCATGGTCTTTAACTGTAACGACAATACGTAAATTAATTAAATGAAAGTGTATGTGTTAAACTGTACTTAGGGTAAAAAGTCAGAAGAACAAATAAAAGTGAATTCCGTTATTATCTATCCCGTCTGGAGTGTCATGGAGTGTGATGAACACGCGCTTTCGAGTATCCGTGGATCCTTTAGGGTCGATAAACGTAATCACCAGTTAGAGGCGACACAGGAAAATAAAGAGGAGATGGGCAGCATCCTCTTGATTAAAACTCTTAAAAGCGGAGGTTAGCACGTAGATTTTAGACCCAACCTACCAAGCGTGGGTACTTTGGCAAATATCTTCTTATTAGAAATTCTATGTGGGAGACCTACTAGTGTAATAGTATTAACATACTATTATTTATAACTATTGGAATTGAATAAGACGATATTTAATTTTAGTAATGTGAAAATGCTCAGGTAAGTCCATCTTATATAAGCTGACACCTTAGACACAAAACTTACCTCTTCGATGGGCAACTCTGTATTCCTTCTATCGGAGGCAAATTCTCTTCTTCCTCAATTTTAATAGGAGAAACTATATCTTTGACCTCCTTCTTGGGCGCCGGCACATTCATAGTGACGTCAGAGAATTCCTCTTGCAAATTGATTATGTCTTTCAATTTGGCACTTCTCTCTTGCTCAGAACTATCATTATCTAGATATTTTTGTCTTCGCAACCGTAAAGTCCTCCTTGTATTGCCTTTTCTTGCGCTTTTTTCTTGACTCTTCATTAATACTTCATTATCATTCAATTCCCTTTTGTTATCATTACTTTCAGACTTTAGTCTCTTCCTTAAGTTATACTTCGTTTCTACAGATTCCTTTGCTTCGGTAGTTGTATCTTTATTACTGTCAGTGATGTTTACATCCTGTCCTACCAACAGATCAAATTGCGTCGCTCTCGGTTCAGATATATCTTTATAAATTGTTTCAAATTCTTCTAGCGTATTGTCAATTTTTGCGTTCGCTTCTTCATGAAATGTATTATCTTTGGTTGGTTTGGGAACTGCTTGTATTTCTTTTTCCACAGGTTTCTCTGATTTTATCGCACTTTTCACACATGTTTCGGCAAGTTCATTTGATAAAACAATATTTTCGATAGATTTCCGTATATTTTCTACGTCATCTTGCTCTCTTTTTGAAGGTTTGGTTACTGTTTGAATCTCTTTTTCTACTTGTTTTTCCGGTGTTATCATACATTTCACGTCTATTTTGGTAAGTTCATCTGTTAAAACAGTATTTTTGAAAAATTTCTGTAAATTTTCTACGTCGTCTTGCTCGCTTTTTGGAGCTATTTCAATTTGTGGTGAATCATAACCTTCAAATACGTCAACGGAATCGGAACTCTTATTAATTAGAATATTCGCCTTTTGAATGACAGAAATTGGATCAGCTTGTCTAGTTAAGCTCTCCCCGAAAAGCTTCTTCATTGTGCTCAGCTTAAAATCACATGCAGTTTCTTCTTTAACAATCGATGGTGACCTCACATCATCATTTTTTAAATAAACAATATTTTTAATGCCTGACACTCTTTTATTTTCATTATCGACATTAACATCTAAATTATCGAAAAAGACTTTCTTTTCTTTGTTTGACTCTATATTAAGGAAATCTTTTGAAGGCTCTTCAGGAATATTGTCACAGAAGAAGATTCTTTTCTCTTTGAGAGTTTTTATGTTTGTAAGTGCATCGAAAGTCTTCCTTTTTGGTTCATCATCGAAATCGTTTGCTGCCATTTCTAGCTGCTCGAATTGTGCAAGAGAAGTGTTGGAATTATGAGCACTCGATTTGGATTCCAGAGAATTCAGTATTTTATTCACTAACGTATCAGACATAGCAAGAGGCACATTTGTGTTGGTTTTGATGTCTTCTTTCTGCTTTGTACTTTCATATTTTTCTTTAACTTCACATTGTCCTACAGAAAAGTTATTTTCTTGTTCTTGTGTGGAATTTTCCGACTTGCTGTCATCTTGAGATTTTCTTACGAAATATGTGCCACGTAATAACGTTTGCATTTTAGACTTCTCTTCAACCGCATCACTAGAGCTAAGAACAGTCTCGGTATTATTGATAAAATACGTCCCTCTATTGCTAGAATTAAATGTGTTAACTTCTTCATTCTTAAAACTTTTATCAACTTTTACACAGTCAACTTCTCTACTTAACTCGCCAAGTCCTTCGTCAATTTCCTTATCGTTTTCCTCACACGTAACGTTATCTTCGACTTCGCCAGTATAAGTTTTCTCATTAATGACATCAATATCTTTTAAAGTGTCACCAGAATTTTCCAATGAAACAGTGTCATTAATCTTTTCTATCGTCTGATTATTTATGTCAACTATTACGTAGTCAGTTCCGGTATCATCAACTTTACTGTCATCGTTTGTACTACGATTTACGTTGGCTAGACTTTGCCTCATTAATCGTGATCGATTTATATCTTCTTTTTTGAACGTTGGTTCTAGACTTTCACTGAACGGGTCTTCTTCTTCTTCGTGACTATCATCTTCACTGTCAGTAACAGACATGACTTCCTCGTTTTGCTTCTGGGCGTCATCGTAATCTTTTTCTAAACAAAAAATTGTCATTGTTATTTTTGAAATAATTATCCACTTTTATTAAAGTATTCGCTTTAATGAATAACAAAATAAGGATCTACAGAAAAAGTTTAACGTTGTTAATTATAAGAATATTTTTTTTATAAATCAAATTTGGCGCTGAGTAAAAAACAAAGCGTAACTTACCATCTCTCTCTTCGATGCAAGCTCGCAAGTGTTGGAGCTCTTCTTCAGCTCTTGCGCGTGCCAATTCTTCTGCTGAAAGTTTTTCCTAAAAGACAAAAAATAGTAATACATCAATAATGTTTCCGTATTAATAGATTTTAAATTTATATATATATATATATATATATATATATATATATATATATATATATATATATATATATATAATTTACATGTAGTAGAGTAATGCTGCAGCTATCACTGAATACCAACGAAGTGGATGCTGTGCTGTGGCTCATAGAGATCCACAATTAAGAGTCAAAATGCAGATGAGTTGTCACCCCTGCAAACTACGATGAAATGCCTCGTTCCCGTTAAAAAGGGTCACCTTGTCTCTACACTCACATTATTACGTATCACATTATATAGTATTTTACGCTAGTATTTTGTGGGAGCGTGGTTCTTCCCCTGTTGAGCCGACCCATTCATGCTACAACCATGATATCAAAATCAAAAAATCTTTATTCTCAAACTACTAATACTTAAAATTAAATACATTATTGGAACACTCCTTTTAAGTTCGGAAACTTGTGTTAGAAGGCTCCGCTCTTCCCGTCCTTCATTTATATAAATTAGTGTTTAGAACTTGGGTAACACATAATTTTTGACTTACAGTTAAACTTATGTAGTATTTTTACAATAAAATATCCGTTGGTGTTATTTGTGTGATTGTGTAGTGTATGTGTATATGGTGTGTGCATGTTGAGGTATGGTATATTTAGTAAATTATTAATTATGTGTAACAAGTTAAGTAATTTTGTCTAAAAGTGTTTCGGTTTCGTTGTAATTTAAAGTTTTCAACCATTCTATTGTTTTCTTTTTAACTTCTATGCTATGCAATGGATATATGCTTAAGATTTTATTTATTTTATTATATAAGTATACTGCCCTTTTCTCATATTGTACTGAAGCAAATGTCGTTTTACAGCGATCGGTATATAGAACTAAGTCGTTTCTTCTTTTGTTTGTCTTGTCACGTTCCTAGTAGATTTGTGAATTTTAAGCAATAAGAATAAAAATATATAACTTTCGAACTGACAAGATACCAGACAAATTATAAAGGTCAACCTCAAGGAATCTTGTTTTTAAAGCTCCTCCCCATATTGGGATACAATAAGTAAGAACAGATTGAGCCAGTGCTGTATGTACTTTGTTCAGTAATTCGTTGGTTGTTACATGTCTTAACTTTTTGAAAATCCACATTAATTTTCTTATGCGGCCAGTTATTAATTCAATATGGTTATACCAAGACAGTCTCTGGTCAATAATAACATCTAAATATTTTGTTTTGTCCACTCTATCAATAACAGCACAGTCACAAAAAATAGGCTGTCTTGGCAAGTGTGTATTTTAATGCTGAAGTTGGCTGGTGGTTGAGTGTAATTGCAAATAGCAAAACAAATATAATTTGTTTTATGCGTGTTTAATGAGAGTAGGTGGTTATTTAACCAGGCTGCTATAGTTTTAAGTCCCGATTCTGTACGCATTTTTACTTCCTCCCAAGTGTCTCCCGAAAAAGTAACAGCTATATCGTCAGTATAGGAGAAGATGTGACCGTGAGGAATAGAAAGTTTGCACAGCTCATTAATATAGACTAAAAACAGCGTATGCCCTAAGACGCTACCCTGAGGGACGCCGAAAATAACATTTTCTTCGTCACTCAACAGAGCGTCCACATGAACACGCTGAGTGCGCTCATGTAGGTTGCTGAACATCAGGTTTAGCGAAGTATCCCTGAAGCCGATAAGCTCCAAAAACTTTAAAAGATCAGGAATAGACTGTTTCAAAAGCCTTTCTCAGGTCTAAAAATACACTAAATACACTTTTTGCCATTATCTAAATTCTTTACGATTAAAAGTGAGAATAGCGCCTTCTGTGTAAAGTTGTTTTCTAAAGCAAAATTGTTGATTTGATAAAATATTATATTTATTTAAGTAGTTTAATATCCTAGTATTTAAGATTTTCTCTACAATTTTGGACAGAGCTGGTAGGACAGAAATAGGGCGGTAGTTAATTACATCGTCTCTGTTTCCACTTTTATAAACAGGTGTTACTAATGATTGTTTAAGTGCGAAAGGAAATATACCCCTCGTAAAACAGAGATTTATAAGATAAGTGAATACGGGCACAAACAAATCCTTTCCCAACTTCAAAAATCTGTTTGGAATTTATCCCACCCGGGAGTGCTATCAGAGTCAAGACTCATCAACACCCACCCTACTTCAGCATTATCTGTTTCGAGCACAACAAAAGAGTTTAGGAGTACAGTAGTAGAAGTGGATTTAGGAATCGAGCTGTATAGCATATTACAGCATCTTAGACTTAATTTCTTCAGCCAGGCAACTACCTATACTGGAGAAATATTTATTAATATAATTAACTGAATCCTGGGGTGTAGGTTTTATATTTAATAAAACACGAATTTGAAACATTCTTTTTTTTAAATTGTGTAACTTCATTTATATTTTTCCAGAGAACTTTATTATTTTTACAAGATTTAGAAATGACGCTACAATCATGTTTACGTTTTTGTTTTTTAATAAGTTTATTACAAAAATTTCGGTAGCGACGGTAAGTGATCTGTAATATATCATTAGTTGGGTCTTGTTTTAGTTTTTTTTTTGCATAGCATTTCTGTTTCTTATGCATCGAAGTATACCTTCTGTCATCCAGGGCTTGATAAATCTCTTTGTCCCAGGAAAAGCTAAAATTTTGGTGTGTTTAACTAATGCAATAGATATTTTATCGATCAATATATTAGTTAGAGTATTTGGATCTGTACATAAATATAAATCGCCAAAAACGTTTATTAAAGTCAGTTACAGATTTTGTTTTATTAGATTTGCTTAAACTATTGTTGCCCACTAGGCTAGTAGAGATATTGTGGTCTGTTATAGTTGTATCGAGAATTGCGACGAAAGCGGTTGTTCTTTTTTTATCAATTTTAGCATAAAATGGTCCAAACAACGCAATCCTCTGGTAGGAAAATGGTTGCCTGGAAGTATTTCATGTGTAGCCAAAGCGTTCAGATAAAGATTTCTGTTATTTCTTTCATAGCTTTGCTCACACATAATAGGTAATAAATTTATAGTAATGTCACCCGCTATAATAATATGACTAGTTTTAACTGAATTTAGATGGAAATCAATAGAGTGAATAAATTCGTCAGCTTTTGTAATGGAAGGAGAACGATATATACCTAAAATTGTGTATTGATTTATAGTTTTTAAACATGAAGTTTTGTATAAATTTATTTCCTTGACAAGTGCTCTGTAAACATTCTTTATGTAAACTACCACACCTTCGTTTTGATTTAACTGAGTATTTGTCGAATAGGAACAGTAGCTATGTAAAGTGGGAATTGGTTTATTTTTATCTAACCAGCACTCCGTCAAAATTATTATATCAATGCAAGGTTTAAGTTGCGCTAAGTGTATTTATAGACTGTCAAAATTACAGTATATACTTGTTATATTTTGAGCTATAATATTCAGATTTCCATATTTAAAAACAGGCCAAGAGCGTGTCGGGCCACGCTCAGTATAGGGTTCCGTAGTTTACCGTCCGTCACAATAAGTGTTCCCACTTACGAGTTTATAGGTGGGTATCCATTATGTTCGCGCTCCAGCAGCGCTCCGCGCTCCTGCAACTGCTCCCGGTAGTGGGTCGGTTGTTTCCATCCAAGTTCAAAATGATTTTCCTAGAAAGTCCTTATAAAGTTCTACTTTTCAGATTTTTTTCATATTTTCTAAGCTTATGGTTCAAAAGTTAGAGGGGGGGGGGGCACATTGTTTTTTACTTTGGGAGCGATTATTTCCGAAATTATTGACATTATCAAAAAATGATTTTAGTAAACCCCCATTCATTTTTAAATACCTTTCCAACAATATATCACACGTTAGGATTGAAATTAAAAAAAAAATCACTTCCCACTTTACATATAGGGGGGCTACCCTAATAAAACATTTTTTTCCGATTTTTATTTTACCACTTTGTCGGCGTGATTGATACACATATTGGTACCAAAGGAGACAATCATTTTTGGGCCCACTAGAAATATTAACGTCGTTTAATGGTATTTACACCAAAAAAAGACACCAAATTATAATAGTAAATGGCCTATAGATTTTTCGAAAATGTAAACGGAAACAAGAAATCTGAAAAAAAAATTAGTTGTTTTGACATTCGTGTTCTGATCATTGGCTAAGGTAATGTAATATTTAAAAAATTATTGTCTTAGAGATGTGCCGTGATAAATCGGAAAAAATCGAATCGAGTTGAAATTCAGGTAACTCGATTTTGAGCTCGAGTTAAACAATTCAAATTAGATGAACGAAGCTGTGTCAATATGTCACAAATTATTTTTATAATTGTTCTTCCATACAACACAATTATTATTACTACACTTAATAGGTAGTTATATATTATTTTTGGTATGCGTATCGACATCTTCATAAAATAATATCACTCTAACGTTATGACGTAAGTCTTAATGTTATTAATAATTTGACTATCCAAAGTATATATAATCAATTTATATTATGTATAACATAAATTGATACAACATTATATACATATTACCTAATATCAATTTATTTATTACATAATATATCAATAAATTGCTCGAATTAGTAAGTCGATTTAATCACTAAATTGTAGACAAACACTGCATTGGCCGTAAGATAAAGATGCGATTCGAGTAGAATTTTGTGACTCGAGCCACTCGGGTTAATTTACGAGTATGTATGTATGTCATTCTAGTTGTACACTAGTTTTTGAGTAAATCAACTATTTACAGAAAAGTTTATCACTAGAGTTGAGAGTAGCGATTACTTTAGTTAAACAATTTTTAAATATGTACCTTTATAAATAAGTAATATGTGAAATTAAAACTATAAATCAATATCATAAATAAAACTAAATTCAGGTTTGTTTACAACATGCCAGATGCAAGTTTGAATTTGGATGCAACTTGTGATGTCACCTGCAGCGACTTATTATATATACAAGTAAATTAGTGAAGTAATATCTATATAGCACCCTCTGAATCTATACGATGCGCCGAGTTAACTCGGTAAAATTTATTTTCTATCGATTATCGAGTTGGACAAATTCACTCAATTCACTCGGGTGAAATAAAACATAGTTGGAGTCGCATCATTATGGTAAGAACAAAATGGAGTTTTTATTTACAAGCATTATTAAACTAATGCTTAAGAAAATATGGATATTATCAATTATCAGAAAGGTTAGCCAAATATTAATTGACACAAGTACGTATGTTTTTCTCTTTATAGTTTTTGTGGTAAAATTCGCAAATAGAATATAAGAGTTTATTAATTTACACCTATTACTACTAGGTTGTGAAAATCTATTATTAAGTTTGTATATTTTACCTAAAACAAAATAAATACAAATAATAAACAGGTCTTAGAACCTTATTAGTTTGTTAAAAGTGACAAAGTATTAAGTTTATTTTATTAGTAAAATCTAAATTAAATACATAATAAATAGAATAAATGCACAAAATAATTTATTATAATGTTAAAAGAAAATTAGAATCTTTGGGTCGAGGGACTTAAAGAGGGTTTTGAAGAGCAATTCATATAACTACATTTGTGTACAAATAGGTACCTTATGTATTCAGCAAGTTGCTTAATACTAAATGGCTTTTTCGTTAAGCCAGACACAGATCCTGGATTTATACCAGCCATAGTAGATAGGCAATATAAATGTTACATAATATATTTATGTGTAAAAAATGTAGTAATTATTTGTACTAGAAGCAAATATAAAGTTTAATAATAATAGTTTGCATAAAAAAAGTGTAATGGTTGTATCTATTATGCTTAGACAGCTGTGTTGTTCACTGTGCAGAAAGGAATATTATTTTGTCATCTAGAATCAGATATACTTAATATAACAATAATATCTTTGTCTCCTATGTACATGAAACCAGTAAAAATAAAATGTGAGACAACTTTTACATGGTTGAATATCGTAGATGTTGATCAGTAATTACTGCTCCTGTATTTGATCAGCTGGAGCTGATTAATGCTGTATAGTTTATAATAATTTCTATTTTTATTATTTAACATATGAAAAGGTAGATGTAAGAAAATGCTTACAGAAATATGTAAATACAGTTTATTGACATTGAAGGCATAGTCTTATCTCATATCTCTTATTATTAAAAATGTCCTTTTAATTCCTATATAATATAGAAAAAAATAATATATTGATAAGAATTATTATTTAGTTAAGACACCTTTACAATTGTCATTAACTTCTTTTCAGGTGGATCGCTTAGAACAAATCTGTATGCCGTGCAGGCTGAAAGCTTGCAGAGACAAAAAGTGTATGGATATTGAAGACAACAGTCTTATATCATATCTCTTATAATTGAAAATTCCTTCTGATTGCTTACAATATCATAAATGTACATGTTACCATCAAGTTATTTTCAAAAAACCTTCAGAAATGTATCTAACACTAAAATGTTTCTACCTATGTCCGTTATAGACAAAACATAAGAAACCATCCAACCAATTTCAATGAAAATGTTTGTGTGTATTTGGATGGATCCCTAGATGGTTTATATTTACATTTGGACCCGGTAGATGGCACCATAAATCACCAGTGCACAGCTGAGCCGCATCGCTAGTAATAAATACATTTAAATTAAGCCTGTGTTTTTGTAATCCTTACACAAACAGTTTGAAACATCTTACTTCCTCACTATTTATCATTGTGTAATAACATAGATAAGGCATGTTAATTCCTAGTCATTTTATTATGATACTACTTACTAATCAACCAAAACATATTAAAACAATGTCTTGACACCGCTCCTGTCTATATATGTCAGTCAATCATCAAAGTTCAAAAAATTTATTAAATTAAGTTTGTATAAAAGGGGTTATTATAGTATAAAGGAATTTATGGCTGACAATAACCCGTGGGTAAGGTGATCGCTACCAAGCTATTTCTAATTTGTTCTGTGTTGTTAATTATGACATACATGATTGTAAGCTGGCTTTTTTTTAAAAGACCCACTGGGTATTTTGCTGGTTCTCTTCAAGTCAGAGGTTTTTTTCCGAACCAGTGGTAAATTAAAAAAGTGACTTTCAATAAGTATTATTTATAATCTAAATTGAATAAAAGGTTTCTGTTTCTGTACCTACTACTGTTAATAGAATACTTAAATAAATTATGATTTACAATAATAAATAGAATTAACTACATTATATTTTGTTTTTTGTAATACAGTTTAAAGTTTAAAACATCTTACTGTGTGTTGGTAATATCATAAATATAAATAGACATTATCCCTTAGCCATGTTGGTATTTAGAATTACACTCACAATCAATCAATACATGTCAAACTTAGAATCCATACGACATTTATGCATAGACAGGCACTATGTTTTGCCGGAACTAGTGAAAGGTTTTACATCGATTTTAAAATATTTATAAATGCTGAATATATCTACAGCTTAGTTTTATATGTACTATTATTCAAGTGTGCACTATTTTTACCTTATAATACCGATAAATACTACCAGAAAATCGCTTTCAGTTTGTTTTTAGGTTATTGTTAGATTCATATTTTATTTGTTAATTTCTCAGGACTCCGTTTAGATGCAGTAAAACTAATAATTTTATTGTAATCTATGGATTATAAGGAATAAATCGACATGCATTTCATTGACAATCTTTAAAATTTGTAGTGAGCCCATTCTCCATAGAAAAATTGATTGTCTCCTTTCAGCTTTCTAGTGCTAACGGTCACAGAGATTAAGCGAGGACGGACAGACGGACAGACAGACATGGCGAAACTATAAGGGTTCCTATTTGACTACGGCACCCTAAAAACAGGGTTTGAAGACAAATCATCTATTGAACATTTTATAGACTGTGAAATTTCTGTGTCGTCTAATTTCTGTAGTGTATTCAGAGAACTATTCATGGACGAAGTAAGAGAACTGCTGGGTCATTAGCATAGAATTTGTATTAGGTTGTGTAATGTAAATGTAATGTGAATATGTGTGTGTAGACTAAATATGTGATTTAATTATTAAACATATAATTTTATTAAACAGTTTGAGTTTTGTTTGTGTATGAATGTTTTGTATCTGTTTCTTGTATTTAATGTAAGTTTGTAAGCAATATAAATTAACTTTGAAGTAACAATATAATAAAGCATTTAAACAAAAAATTAAATAAAAAACGAGAAAACATGCAGATATAAAAGATAGTAATACTCATGCCTCATTATGCAAAGTTAGTTGGTGCAATTGTGCTTTATTTGTATATAGCAGCAGCCTGGCTCTACCACTTAAACATAACTATAATAATTACACAAATATGCAGACACATGCTTACTTACCTCTAGAATAGCTATCTCCCTCATAAGTTGTGATATCTGAAAACAGTAAAATAAAAAGATAAAACATCTATATTTCTTATCAATATCTTGCACAAAAAAATTTGGCAGAAGTTCCAATATGTGATATAAACAAGATGTTACGTGTAAAATGGTCAATGAAATAATTTAAAAAATGAGTCATGATTATCAGTCAGTGATCCCTTACCTTGTTTTGTAAAGCACGAGTCGGTGTGCCTTCAATGGATGCTGGAGCTTGCGATGCGAGCTTGCATAATCTAGCTTCGTATTCCTCTTTCATTTCTTCCATCTGAAATAAAAATAAATAATCGCATAAGATATGTATGTTTAACATGTTCTGTAAAGAGATAAGGTTGTAATGAAAATGGAAATACCGGAAAAAAATCTCAAGGTCACTAAATTGCAAAGAAACTATTTCAAAAATTTGCCAGACAACGCATTTTATAGTATGAAATGAAAATATAATATAGTAGTTTTTTTTATCGGGAAGATCCATCATCTCTTTTTTTCATTTTCCCCTGTCGGCTCTTACGCCATTTTCAAAATGATATGTGGTAGTGGATTCTATTACTCGGCTAGTACACTACATTGTGTTGTATTATCTACTTGTATTATAAATAAAAATCAATTGCCGCATGTGTGAAAGATCATAACTTGAGCGGCTGGACCGATTTTTATAAATTTTTGTATTTGAGTGCGAAGTCGAGGCGAATCGCTAAAATTAAATAAATATTAATTAGTTCATTCATCATTCATTACAAGCCGTCTAAAGAACAATGCTGAATGCAGGCTAACGCCGCAGATTGCCTCATAGGGAGGAAATTTGTCATAGTTGTCATTTTGATTACATTCTTATCTGGAAGATGCTGCTGCCCATCTTTTATTTCAATTTTCCTGAGTCGCCTCTTACGAAACTCACGGATTAAAATAGGGTAGTGGATACACTTACGCCGCCACTTGTGACGTGCGGGGTGAGTAAAAATACCGATAAGAATAAGAAATGGATGTATTCACACCATAGAATACTATAATACATACATACATAATAGAATGAGGGAGTGGGCGGAGCCCGTGTAGCCACTAACATGTCAATTCACACTTATAAATGTAAATACAATCAATTGTTTTAAATTTTCGTGTCAAGCGTCACTGCATGCAAATTATTTAAAAAATGGCAAATTGTGCAATAATTACGTGTCGAAAAAACAGCGGGAAATGGAATTTAAATAAAGAAGACATATATCCTACAACCATTAAGTCGAAACTATTTATATTTTGTGAATATTAGAAAAAAAATAAAGAAATATTGATGTGTCAAAAATATTAATCAAAAGTCTAAAATGTGTAAATTCGCTCAGTCTATCAACACAGCGAATCGGGTTTGTAGTAGTGATAATATCTACGAAGTAATTGCTTGTGTGCTCCCAGCGACGCCGATCCCCGTACAAAATAAGGTTGACAGCCATTATTTCACACAGCAAGTACATAATTACCTCGTCCAAAATCGCTAAGCTTCTTCGGTGAGGTCCTTAATAATCGCAGATGTCGTAGATCAATTGATTGAAGACCATTTTCGCGTTCCCGAAATAATTGATTCTCCGATCAGTACAATAGACTGCACATTGTCCAATCACGACTAATACAACACATAAACACATGCATATGTGTATGTGATTGTGTGCCTGTAAGGAAAAGAGGGAGACCACAAAAAAAGTGGGATGATGACATCAGGCAAGTGGCAGGCGTCACATGGAACAGGGTGGCTCAAGAAAGATGTGAGTGGAAAAGGTTGGAGGAAGCCTTTGCCGACTGGCAAATAGATCTTCAAAAAATAAGAAAACCTCAAATAAAAGACTAGATTAAGGATAACAGTAGTATTAAGCTTTGCACATATTTCTGCAGTAATGCAGTAATTTTTGATCTGAATAAAAAGGCTATATAAAACATTATTAACTCTTACCTCGTCCCTCAAAGATTGTATTTGTGCTTCATAATACTGCCGTGTCAAGTCCTTAGCTTCGTCAACCAATTCCTGCATAGTGTTCGCCGTTTCAGCCTGACGTTCCTCCATTGCAGCCAACAATTCTTTATTTCGCGCATGGGCCCTTAAATAAATATAAAAATATAAATTTACCACTGTCTTATATGCAAAAACTTTATGTAACAAAATGATTATAAATGGATATTACAAAAATAATTCTTTTTAGGTGGTAGAGCCATACTGCAGTTATATTAAGGTCGTAGAACGAATGGGTCGGCTCGTTCGAGGTAGAACAACACTCTCACAAAATACCAGCGTAAAATAGCAACTTAATACTGCTGTAATTCGTATGGTGAGTGTAGAGAAACGGAGACCCTTTTTACTGGAAACGAGGCATTCTATCTTAATCCTCAGGGGCGACAACGCATCTGTATTTTGAATCTTAATCAACGATAAATGTAGACGTTTATAGGCCACAGCATCCACTTAACATGAGGTGAACTGCGTGCTCGTTTCTCACCCTCAAGCCCTTTCTGTAAAGAAAAAGAGATAATACACTACGCTAGACTAGACACGACGCTAGATTTTTTGGATATATCAGAAGCAATAAGATCGTTTATTTCCCACAGTGGCCACATACGAAACCCATAGGACGAAACAAAGTAATGGCGAATACATTACTCTGTCTCGTGCTGTGTCCTATGCCGTGATCACATGGCAAAATACAATAGTTAACCCTATTATATAAGTTTCTTAAGTTTCTATCTATTCCAAAACAGTCTTTAAAAGCCCACTACTGCACATAGGCCTCCTCAGCTTACCTTAATAGGGGGCTTTTGTGATAGTTGCCACGCTTTGCGGGCGTGTTGGCAACTGCAGTATTTTTTATTATTTGAGTTGTCACCAGGAAGATGCTGCCACCCATCCCATGTTTCAGTTTCCCTCTGTCGCCCCTTATGATTCCAACGGGATGAACTGGGGTAGTGGATATTCTTACATCGCCACTACCAAGTTTATTTGATATTAATATTATAATAACAAATTACACAAATAATGGTTTTAGTGATAGTACTTACTGAATTAGTTCGAAATGCAATCGCTCATTATCAGCTCGAAGTTTCAAAACATCTGGGTTGTGAGCTATTATTGTATCTTGGTGTGTCGTCTCCAGAGATGAGTATTCAGATACTGTGTTGTTGACCTCTGAAATTTAATACAAATGGACTGGTTTAAAAACTTTGACATATGTTTTTAGAACACAATCAACAAAAATTAGGTGGACAAAAACACAAAAGCCATTAAAAGTTTGTAAGGTAGACTATTAATATGATAAATGAAAACAAAGTCCTCAGATATTAAAGTCAACACACTATTTTATCTAAAGGGGTACGTAATATACAGAGTTAATATGCAATAACCGGCCAAATTTGCAGAGAAGGTTCAGAATTAGTAATATAGGCAAATGGCAAAGAAAAATTAATAAAAAAAAATTCAATCATTCTGTCCTTTTTATCTTTTAAATTCAAAATGCGTGGTAACCATAGAATACTATAATATATATATAATAGAACAGGGGAGTGGGCGGAGCCCGTGCAACTACTAAAACATCACAACATGTCAATTCACACCTATAAATGTCAACACATCTCTTTTACGTTACAATTGTTTCCCATTTTCGTGTCGAGCGTCATCATCATCATCATCATTACAGCCCTTCACAAGTCCACTACTGAACATAGGCCTCCCCAAAGTAATGCCACAAAGCATGGTCCTGAGCCACTTGCATCCATCGATTTCCTGCATGTCTTACCAGGTCGTCACTCCATCTAGTGGGGGGTCGCCCTACACTACGCCTACCGGTATGAGGCTGCTACTCGAGAACCTTTCTTCCCATCGGTTATCGGTTCTTTGGCCGGCCCATTGCCACTTCAGCTTACTAATCTGTTGGGCTATGTCGGTCACTCTGGTTCTACTGTGGATAGCCTCATTTCTAAGTTTATCACGCAGAGAAACCCCGAGCATAGCCCTCTCCATAGCTCGCTGAGCGACTTTGAGCGTCCTCATACGGCCAGCAGTGAAGGACCACGTCTCGATTCCGTAGGTCATTACTAGCAACACGTTCTGGTTGTACAATCTAGTTTCCAGAATTTGAGGTATTCCTGACGAGAAGATGTGTCGTAATTTCCCGAACTTTGAAACCGAAATTTGTCGATTGACCTCTCAGTCGAATAGTTGCACTTACCTAGTCGGACTATTTGTCCCGGGTAAACGTACTCGTCAAGAAATTCGAGCTTAGTGCTCCCAACAACTACCGGCATAGGTGTGACATGGACATTAAACATGATCTTTGTTTTGTCCATGTTCATCTTAAGACCTATCCGTTGGGAGGCACTATTGAGGTCATTCAGCATAGTGCTTAAGTCCTCCAGCGATTCTGCCATAAGGACTATATCGTCGGCAAATCGAAGGTGAGTGATGTACTCGCCATTGATGCACCGTATCCTTTCCAGTCCAGTAGCTTGAAAACGTTTTCCAATGCAGCGGTGAAGAGTTTCGGGGAAATAACGTCACCCTGTCTTACACCTCTCTGCAGTTGGATAGGTTTCGTACTCTGGTTCTGTACTCGGATGGATAGCCATCGTAGCCCTACTGTACAAACACTTCAGCACTTCGATATACCGACAGTCAATTTGGCACCGCTGAAGGGACTGTAGCACCGCCCAAATTTCGACGGAATCAAAGGCTTTCTCATAGTCCACATACGCCAGGCAAAGTGGCAGATTGTACTCTTCGGACTTCTGTACAGTTTGCTGAAGGGTATGTATGTGGTCTACGGTACTAAAGCCCTTTCGGAAACCGGCTTGTTCGGGAGGCTGGGAGTAGGCGAGCCTGCGTGCGAGACGATTCGTAATGACTCTCGAAAACAGCACGTAGACGCGGCTCAGAAGGGAAATCGGTCTGTAGTTCTTCAAGAAGGCGTTGTCACCTTTCTTGAAGAACAAGACCATCTCACTTCTGCTCCACGCCTCCGGAGTAGTGCCACCATGGAGGACGGAATTAAAGAGCTTCTGAAGGACTCCAAGTACCGGTTTTCCACCCGCTTTCAGAAGCTCCGCTGTAATTCCATCCTCACCAGGGGACTTGCCGTTTTTAAGGTGCTGGAGAGCCATTCTAATCTCGCTCAGACTGACGTCCGTGATATCATCGGAGTAGTGTCGGATAATACTTGCTCTTGGATCGTTACTCACACTTGCGTGTGGCTCTAACGATGATGTGTACAGCTTCCCATAGAACCTCTCAATCTCACTCAGAATCTCAGGTGTTCCGGAAACGATGCTGCCACACTCAGTCTTCAGCTTTGACAGTTGGCTCTTACTGGCAGACAGATCTTTGGCAAAAACTTTGGAGCCTTGGTTCCGCTCGATCGCTTCTTCAATACGAGCAGTATTAAAGTTGCGTAAGTCTCGCCGTATGCATTTGGAGATCCGTCTGTTCAGTTGCCTGTATGCCTGTCAAATCTGTTGATGATTGCAGCCTCATCTCTCGTCTAACAGCCATGAGATTAAGAGTGTGATCGGAGAGTTTTTGTGTTCTTCTGCGGCGGGTCTTGCAGAACTTAGCTCCGACCGCATGGACAGTTTCCACGAGCTTGTCATTCATATCATCCACTGCATTGCAATCTTCTAGGCACTGAAAACGGTTACGTAACTCGAGCTGAAAGATTTCGGGATTCTGGATCAGAGCACGAGGGGGACGGGATGTTGACTACATTAGACGAGACCTCTCCAAACGTTAAGGTTCAGTGTGCCTCTAACCATTCGGTGATCGCTGCCAGTTTCCACCCTTGCGATCACTGAGACACCACTGACCAGTTGGCGTCTGGTCGTTATAATGAAGTTAATCTCATTTTTTGTTAAACCATCGGGGCTCGACTAGGTCCACTTCCTGTGGGGCCGCTTCTGGAAGAAAGAGTTCATCATAAAGAGTCCCTTTTTCTCCATAAAGTCGACCAGCTGCTGGCCCCTACGGTTCCATTGCCCTACTCCAAATTTCCCTAACTTCAGCTCACCGCTTTCTCTTGTGCCTAGTTTAGTTAGCCACGAGAGACTTGTGGACGATAAATCTAAGACCTCCTTAGGACAGATGGTCGCCCTCCCGGTGATAGAACAAGTTGTCGAATTCGAGAATTATCGTGTCCTCCCTCTCTCTTCGGACCTCAGATAATCGTATAATATTCCAGCGCAACTTGTCTATCACTTCTTCCAGCTCTAGGATCTTTTTTTTACGTGGTAGAGCCATGCTGCAGTTATATTAGTAGTATAGTTGTAGCACGAATGGGTCGGCTCGACCGGGGAGGGACCACGCTCTCACAGAATACCAGCGTAAAATAGTAGCTTAATGCTGCTGTATTTCGTATGGTGAGTGTAGAGAACCGGAGACCCTTTTTACTGGAAACGAGGCGTTCCATCTTAGTCCTCAAGGGTGACAACGCATCTGCATTTTGATTTGTAATCGAAGATAGATGTAGATGTCTATGGGCCGCAGCAACCACTTACCATCAGGTGGACTGTGTGCTCGTTTGTCACCCTATCCTATAAAAAAAAATCTTCTCGTCAGTCCTCAGGGTGCGTGCGTTAATGTTGCCAGGTCGAGTCGTCGTAGGTGGCAACCGAACCTCCGGAGATTCTTAGCCCACCTTGCCCCGCCAGGTGTTTGTACAGATTATAAGATACAACACTAGGATTTGAGATATAAATTATTTTATACATGGCTTAAACATACCCCTTTGCATATGTATAAACAATGTATTTACTGAGAAATAACTGTTTCGGAAACTAAATCTATGTGTTTCTGAAATTCTTTATAGAGTAGCAGAGACCAGTATCTTAAAAACAAAACAAAACCTAGGTAAGAGGATAAAACGAACCACGGTGAACTCACAGCCAGAAAAGGCCTCTATCGCATAGTAAGTTCTAAAGAATGCCTTAATTCAATGCTGTATATAAGTAATTTATTTTTTTAAATATCCTCAATCCGTAAAGAAATTTTTAATACAAGTTTAGTTTTAAATTTAATGTTTTTTTTATAATGATTTCTTATATTTACGCGAACACTACACATTGAAATAATACTAGTTTTTACGGAATTTATCGCGTATATTTTAACTTTTTAAATACCCGACGTTTCGAACGCTTTACAGCACTCATGGTCACGGGCAGGACTGAGATGTTCAACGTCCATATGTCATAGTTAACCGCGGTTACCATAGATTAAAATTTAACTTTTGTTCCGATCTATGCAGATTCTGAACTTATGGTATCCAATTGAAATCCCAAGCAGGTATTCTTGGCTTGGGATCCTATAATTTTATTTAAATTATAGATCCCAAGCAGATTCTGCTTGGGATCCTGTAATAAATAAAATTATATCCCAACCCAAACATAACTGCAAGACTTCAAGATACCATAAGTTCATACTGCATAGATCGGAACAAAAAGTTAAATTTTAATCTATGGTAACCGCGGTTAACTATGACATATGGACGTTGAACATCTCAGTCCTGCCCGTGACCATGAGTGCTGTAAAGCGTTCGAAACGTCGGGGTATTTAAAAAGTTAAAATATACGCGATAAATTCCGTAAAAACTAGTATTATTTTAATGTTTTTTTTTAATGTCATGTCAATATCTTATTTACTTCATATCTATATATCTTGAACTTTACTGGTTATCCTTCGTCCAAATTCCATCCCTACAAAACTACTATTCCTTCGCGTTACTAGTTTCCATCTTTTTGTTTGTCATTGACATAATGGTTAACAAAATGCCATAATCAAGTACCAAAAATTAATGTTTAAAGGGGACGAGAGGGATGTGTAAGGATCATGTCAAATAGAAGTCTGTGGTCTCTGCCTAACCTCTGGGTGACAGACGTAAGTGTTTTTAGTGTTTTACTTACGGATGTCTCTCGCGACCGCGGCAAGTTGTAGCACGTGTCTAGTTTCATGAGCACATTCTGGTGCCGGGGTAATGGTCACAACAACGCTAACCGCTTCCCCACGAGCGCCGGACAAGCCAGCGCCAAGAAGACGCGTCAGCTTTGATTCCCTGTAGAAAAAGTATTTATTTATTTGATAAAAACTAATATGGTGTGTGGTGGTAGCAACATCATCTCGTCGTCTTGTACATGTCCATAGTAATACTAGGCTGCACTAAAAGTATCGGTAATTGAATATTTCTACTGTTCCTGTCATATTAAAATCTTTTTAATTGAAAACTCCTTGGTTTTAAAAATCGAATACCATTTATTTATTTAAAAAAAAGATTCTCGGTCTTGTTACAAGGTTTTGTCAAACTTGTTTAGTTGTTGAGAAAATGGAATTGACTCGAGAAAATTCAAGAGCGATGATTTATTATGACTTTCGAAGTGGTTTAACATAAAAACAGTGCGTTGACCGGATGATATCTGCATTTGGTGATGAAGCCCCATCCAAAACAACAATTTATCGCTGGTTTGTTGAATTTCAACGTGGACGTGTCAAGCTCAGTGATGATCTCCGTCAAGGTCGTCCAAAAACTGCAGTCACCCAAAAAAACGTTGATGCTGTGCGTAAGCTGATTGAGGAAGATCGACATGTGACATACCGCGAAATTCAGGCATCTTTAGACATTGGCATGAGTCAAATACAAATAATCTTGAGTGAACAATTAGGTGGAAAAAGTTGCTTTCCCGATGGATACCGTATTCGCTCTGTGAAAAGCAAAAAGCGGCTCGCGTTACTTGGTGCGTCAGAACTCTCGAAAGATTCCACGCAGGATCCTCAAATGCTGTATACAACATCGTATCAGGTGACGAATCCTGGATATACGCGTACGAACCCGAAACAAAAAACCAGTCACGAGTTTGGGTGTTCGAAAATGAGTTAAGCCAACAAAAATTGTTCGTTCACGGAGTGTTGCCAAAAAAATGGTGGCCACGTTTGTCTCCAAAACCGGCCATGTTACGACTATTCCTCTTGAGGGACAAAGAACGGTTAATGCAGAATGGTATGCTGGCATCTGCTTGCCACAGGTCATTTCTGAACTCCGTAAAGAGAACTGCAACCGCCGCATCATCCTCCATCACGACAATGCGAGTTCTCACACCTCACACAGAACAAAAGAGTTTTTAGAGCAAGAAAACATAGAATTATTAGACAATCCGCCGTACAGCCCCGACCTAAGCCCTAATGATTTCTATACTTTGCCTAAAATAAAGAATAAATTGCGTGGACAGAGATTTTCATCACCTGAAGAAGCTGTGGACGCCTACAAAACGGCCATTTTGGAGACCCTAACTTCCGAATGGAATGGTTGCTTCAATGATTGGTTCCACGTATGGAAAAATGTGTCAAATTTCGCTGAGAATACTTCGAAAAGCAATAAATACATTTTTAAATAGTATTGTTGTGTCACTTCCTTGATTCCCGAAATTTTCAGTGGCGCCCTCGTAAAACGACAGAGAAATGCCTGGAGGTTCTTCAACGAATTTAAGCCTCATTGCAGCATATTAAGGCATTTTCCATAGAATACTATAATACACAATAGAATGGCTGTCAATCTTATTTTGTACGAGGATCGGCATCGCCGGGAGCACACATACAAGCAATTACGTCATATTATCACTACTACAAACCCGATTCGCTGTGTTAACAGACTGAGTAAATTTACACATTTTAGATTTTTGAATAATGTTCAAAATCATCATTAAAAAAATCGTTTAAATTTTAATACGTATTTATTTGTAAATAGTGTGCAATTTGGCGTTTTTAAAATGATTTGCATGCGAAATTTGTAAACGATTGTAACGTCAAAACACATCTCGTGTTGACATGTTAGTGACATTTTAGTGGCTACACGGGCTCCGCCCCCTCCCCCGTTCAATTATGTATGTATTATAAGTATTCTATGGCATTTTTAGTCCACCTTTAAATAGTTTCCCTTTTTTTTTGTTAGTCACATACCTTGACATATCACACACGCATTAAAGAACCATGTTCTTCGGCGGACTGATAATGGGCTGATTAGAAAAAGGAAAAACTAAATAAGACGATTTGATGGCGTGGGACTGTGCCGTACAGCGACACCACGCGATACGACACGGTACGTATCGGTACGGCACGAGCGCGTCTCTGCCAGCACGATGCCGTCTGCGCAGTTTGCGCAAGCAGCGCTCCAGCACGTGCAACGAAGAGTTGATGGCGGGGGACTGTGCTGTACAACGACACCACGCGACACGACATGGTACATACCGGTACGGCAAGAGCGCGTCTCTGCCGGCGCGCTGCCGTATGCGCGGTGTGCGCAAGCAGCGCTCCAGCACGTGCAGCGAGGAGTTGATGGCGCGGGACTGTGCTGTACAACGACACCACGCGACACGACACGGTACGTACCGGTACGGCACGAGCGCATCTCTGCCGGCGCGCTGCCGCCTGCGCAGTGTGCGCAAGCAACGCTCCAGCACGTGCAGCGAGGAGTTTATGGCGCGGTCCTGTGCTGTACAGCGACACCACGCGACACGACACGGTACGTACCGGTACGGCACGAGCGCATCTCTGCCGGCGCGCTGCCGCCTGCGCAGTGTGCGCAAGCAGCGCTCCAGTACGTGCAGCGAGGAGTTGATGGCGCGGGACTCCGCTAGCCGGGCACCGGCGTTTTGCGTGCGTCTCACGCGCTCGCAGCCCGCTAAGTCACACAGACGTACGCTCGACACCCGGCAACCCACATCTGCCAAAATTACACGTTTTTAACAGTTCACTTTTTTTTACAGAATACCAGTGACAAACGAGCACACAGTCAGGTGTACTGTGTGCTTTACTGTGTGGGAATAGATGCTGTGGCCCATAGACATCTACATTTATCCTCAATTAAGTCAAAATGCAGATGCGTTGTCACCCCTGATAATTGAAGATGGAATGCCTTGTTTCCAGTAAAAAAGGTGTTCAGTTCTCTACATTTACCATTTGAAACACAGCATATTCTGTGAGAGTACATAGTCTTACCGAAGTCGAGTCGACCTATTCATGCTACAACCATAATACAGCTGCAACACGGCTCTACCACGTAGAATCACCACATAGGCTGATCTGATTGTTAGTGGCATCGGCAGCCTATAACCCTATATCCACCTGCACCAAAAAATCAAAATGCAGACACATTGTCCATATGGTATAAAACTGTTACTAGTAAAACAGTATCTGGTTCTCATCACAGAGAGAAAATCAAACAGAACACAATGAAGCATAACACCAATATTTTATGATGCTATTCTGTGAGCATATGGTCCTTCAACGGCTATGCTAGCAATGCTATAAATGTTTTTCTTAACACTGCAACATTATCAACCTGTGCGTAGTAAAATCGCTATAATAGAAGACTTCAAGACTTGATGCAGGTGACAACACCTATCAGGTGTTTCATCAGGTTGTTTGTCACCCTTATCCAGAACTATCGTAATTTTTTTTGTAGGCTGAGTTTTGTACCGACAATTCTGTGATTGCTCATTTCTAGCAGCTATGTTTTTATCTTCGCTTCTAATCCATTGACTTTGCTCACCTTTTTCTGCACTACCTTCTTAGTATTTCGCAATTTATGTAATTCATTTTCGGTGTCGACAAATCTGTCTTTGAGCAAATTGTACTCCCTTATTTGCTCATCTATTAAGATTAGGATTCATCGCGAAATTCTTGCAGTATTTTACAACTGATATCCACTTCTATCACTTTTGGACTCATCGTTTTTTTGCCTCGCTCTGTGTTACATAGCAAGGGATAAAAGTTTTTCCGCTGACATGATACTCTACAATCACTTAAGCTTAAGTCTAAGCTTTTTGAATAAATTTAAGTGATGGACTATCTGATTACCACAAATTGCTAATAAATAATTTTATAAACATATTTTACAAAATGTCAAACAATTCAAACCAAATGAATAATATTGTCATTTTTACGGTAATAAAAACTCACCAGTTTGTGTCAGCATAGTAATGGTGAAGATACAATGTGAGCGAGAGGAGTGTGCATTCACTCCAGTAGCTGCGACTTGTAGGTTATGTTTTCCAGCCGCCATAACATCGTAAGCCTCCTCCCCAGTTCTCACAAATACTTGTGTCGCTCCCTGAAATAAAATAAATTGAAATATAAAATCTGGGTATTGAAAGAGAATCCATTATCTTCCTTTCTCTCTCTGACTTCAGGGCACCTAATAGATAGGAATATAATCATATCGTAAACATCAGATGTGAAATAATCTGACTGGCAATGAGAATATAAACTAGTAAAAACCTTCCGAATATTCTCTGAAGGTTTCCTCTATGACTTGACACTGCTTGTTGTTGATGGTCAGATTATTTTAAATAAGACATATTCAGAAGAGAATATTTGGCACCATGATCCCACATTACATAACAGATTAATAATGCTGTGTTTCATATGGTGAGGGTAGAGTACCAAAGATCCTTATCAAATCGAGATTCATTACAGTTTTATATCACGCACGATACCCTTCTCTAAATAGAGAAAAGCAAAATTTTCTAGAAATTTTGCTTTGATACAACTAGTCGAATATTTCTGTTGGACTCTGGGGAAATATGTTCCCCAGAGAAGAAAGAAGGAAGTTTAAGAATCGTTACCTTGACATAAACATTGCCACTGGAGTCCTCTCGAATGACAAGCTTTGATGCAGAACTCCTGTCACTGGTTGAAAGTAAATCATAAATGCCTTCATTGTAGATTTCTACAAAGGACACCTGCAACAGTTAGGATATTAATCAATCGTCATTATTTATATAAAAAGCCATTATATATTATTTAATGTGGAAAATAAAGTGTACTAGTACTATGGAACTTTTAACATATTATACAAAATTATATATATTATTAATTATATTAACGATATACAGGTGGCCGGAGGCCCCATTCGCCCCCCCCCCCTTAACATGGTAGCGGAATTAAGTGAAGATATACCCCAGGAGGGTACCAGCACCCCTGGAGAATCCCTCGCTGAGCATTCACGACCAAGTTACTCAAGTCCTGAGCGTGGGTGCTCAGTCTGCCCTGCGTATTCTGAGGGGGGGGGGCAAAATTCCGCGACAAACTTAGGCAAGCTAGCACAGGTTTGCCCAGAAAGAGGATAAGGTCACTGGAATGCCGAGGCGTCGAGGACATCTGTTTTCGACGCCTCGGCAGTCTTGAAAGATCGGACCTGTCCATCCTTTAGCTACGCGTAGACAGCGACGACCATCCGCGGGTTTACGAGTGCCTCTGTAGGTCACATAGCAGTAATGCCGAAACAGACCGACTCTTAGAGCACGTCCAAAGGGCTACAGATTTGTTGCTACAGCAGATCCCCTCCGCAGAGATCGTGATCCTCGGCGATTTTAACGCCCACCACGCGGAATGGCTTGGTTCACGTTCAACCTATCATGCGGGGAGATCTGTTCACGATTTTGCCTTGGCATACGGTCTGACACAACTGGTTACTTCGCCTACGCGGATTCCAGAAAATCTCATCCGGACGGATATCAGATTTCCGTCGACGCCTCTTTAGGCTCCTCGGACCATTGTCTTGTCCGGAGTGTGGTGCCACTCACGCTGAAATCGTGGTTGCATTCTGCAGGTTGCCGCCGTGTTTTGCACTATAGGTCAGCTGATTGGGATAGGATGCGGTCTTTCTTTGCATCTTACCCTTGGGGGCGAGTTTGCTTCTCACCGGACGATCCCAACGTTGTTGCTGATTCTGTCGCTGATGTGGTACTTCAGGGTATGGAACTTTTCATTCCTTTCCTCTGTGGTGCCCATCGGAGGCAAATCTCAGCCATGGTTTGGTCGCTCCTGTAAAATAGCATCATGCCATAAGCAGGAGTGCTGCCAAGCCTGGGCTGACGCATCAACGTCCCGGGATGTAAACACCAGCGCTCTAAAAAAGAAGTATAATTCCGCTTCCAGGTCCTTCAAAAGAGTCATTGCCAAGGCAAAGTCAGAGCACTTAGGCAGAATTGGCGAGAAACTAGTACTCTTGCCAAGGCTGTCCAGGGGATTTCATCTGTTCGCCATCTCTTCCATTGAGAAAGCCGATCTGCTAGGCTCTTTCTTTGCGTCCAACTCGACTCTCGATGACGGGGGGAGTACGCCGTCGACCATCCCGCGGTGTGAGTGCTCCATGCCGGAAGTGCGGTTCACACAGCGCTCGGTTCGCAAAGCACTCCTCTCCCTGGACATCCATTCACAAGTCGAGTTGGCCTGACGGTATCCCCCAATTGTGCTGAGAAAGTGTGCTCCAAAGCTGGCACCGGTCTTAACGCGTCTTTCCGGTACTCCTACTCCCTAGGCGTAATCCTAAAATCATGGAAGGCGGCTTTTGTCCACCCGATCCCTAAAAAAGGCGACCGTTCAGACTTGTCTAACTACAGGCCTATCGCCATCACCTCCTTGTTCTATAAAACAATGGAGTCCATTGTAAAGTGCCAGCTCATGAGATACCTTGAGGATCACCAGCTGATTAGTAATCACCAATAAGGTTTTCGTCATAGTCGATCAGCTGGTGATCTTCTGGTCTACCTGACTCAAAGATGGGCGACGGCAGTAGAGTCCAAGGGGAGGCATTGGCCGTTGGTTTGGACACTGTGAAGGCCTTCGATCGGGTTTGGCACAAAGCGCTTCCTTCGAAGCTCTCTTCCTATGGGCTTCCCGAGAAATTGTGTAATTGGATCACCAGCTTTCTTGCAGATCGGAGCATCAAGGTCGTTGTAAACGGTGCAAGCTCCGATTACAAGCCTATTAATGTTGGTGTTCCACAAGGCTGCATGTTATCACCAACGCTGTTTCTTCTGCATGTCAATGACATGTTGCAAACCGGCAACAGTCATTGCTATACAGATGACAGCACTGGTGATGCTCGCTATATTTCTCGGGAAAACGTCTCAGAGTACCAGGACAAACTTGTGTCTGAAGTCGAGTCTTTGCTGAACAAAGTCTCGGATTGGGGGCGACTAAATCTAGTCCAGTTTAACCCTCAGAAGACACAAGTTTGCGCGTTTACCGCTTAGAAGAACCGCTTTGTCGTATCTCCTCAGTTTTAAGGCACTCCCCTTGTTACCTCAGCCGGAAACGGAATCCTCGGTGTCGACATATCGAGTGATGTGCAGCTTCGTGGTTACTTGGACGAGAAAGGCCAAATTGGCCTCTAAAAAGCTTGGCGTGCTCAGCAGAGCGGGACAGTATTTCAAGCCGGCTCACCGCCTGCAACTTTACAAGGCGCAGGTACGGCCGCACATGGAATACTGTTCCCGTCTCTGGGCCGGGGCTCCCTAGTGCCAGCTCCTTCACATTTTCGACATTTATCATCTGTTATTGTAGGATATTTACTTTATTATTAAAATTATTATTAATCCACAGAAGACAGAAGTTTGCGCGTTTACCGCTAAAAAGAACCCCTTCGTCGTATCTCTTCAGTTTCAAGGCACTCCCCTTGTTGCTTCAGCCAGTATCGGAATCCTCGGTGTCGACATATCGAGTGATGTGCAGCTTCGTGGTCACTTGGAAGAGAAGGCCAAATTGGTCTCTAAAAAGCTTGGCGTGCTCAGCACAGCGGGACAGTATTTCATGCCGACACACTGCCTGCAACTTTACAAGGCGTAGGTTCGGCCGCACATGGAATACTGTTCCCATCTCTGGGCTGGGGCTGACCGCAGCCAGCACAGAGCGGCTCAAATCGTCGAGGACCGAGTGCTTTCCGATTAGTCGATTCACTGGCGCTGTGAAGATATGTTGCATCTCTTTGCGTATTTTATCGCATCTATCACTGGGAGTGCTCTGAGGAATTGTTCGGATTAATCCCAGCCGCCAAATTTCATGAATGCACTACGCGGCAAACCTCCTGATACCATCCACACAATCTGGTGGCGTCAAAATTTCACAAGGAGTTTTCTTCCGCGTACGACCTTTCTGTGGAATATTTACCACCGGCGATTTTTCCGGACCGATACGACCTGAGGACTTTCAAGAAAAGAGCTTACTCCTTTCTAAAGGGCCGGCAACGCACCTGCAATTCCCCTGGTATTGCGGATGTTCCTGGGCGGCGGTAGTCACTTAACATCAGGTAAACCGTATGCTTGTTTGCCCCCTCTTCTATAAAAAAATGGACTTCTACTGATATATGTTAGACAGACTCAATGGCCCAGTGGCTTAGCTTTGAACTCCGGTGCTCAGAATCTTGGGTTTAAATCCCGCTCAAAACAAGTATTTGTATAGGCTACAAATAATTATCCCGGGTCCAGATGTTAGTCTTTGTTCCAATTTATGTATGTAAACTGGCTCAACAATACAGAAGAAAATCGTATTGAAATAACATTTTTTTAAATAATAAGTTAAATACACTACTATTTGATGTAAGCAAATATTTCTGTTTAAAAACCTCTTATCCTTTTACACATATTTGTGGACTTAGTCCTGATAGTAGTAGAAGCATTACCGACACATGCCTATTTGTGTAAAATAACTTAGTACAGAGAAGTTACACGTTTTTAATTTCATTTTTTTACAAAAAAATATTAAGAAAAATTTAAAAAATACACCATACACCAATGGCATCATTATATCACTTTAGTAATGCAAAGGCATGGTGAAATGATAAAACATTTGTTTACATTGTCAAAATAAAAAAAAGGTCATTACATAATACAGGCTATATTATATTATGTTTTGTTTACATGGTGATCCGAATATAGGATATTCAAAAGTATAGAATGGGTGCGTTTGGCAGAAAAAAGCGCTAACAAGCGCATGTAAGCTAAATGGCGATCGTAAGCGGTAAGCGCTGTCAAATCGTAAGTAGCTATTTTCCTCCAGGACACGATGTTAGTTTTAACCGGGGAACCTAACCTAATTTAAATATATGTTTGTAAAGTATTCATATTAAAAACTTACCAATCATGAATTTTTAATAACATGTAAGTATATTGTATATGTCTATTCATGTCATTATATTAATTCAAACTAATATTGCACAAAACAACTTATAAACTCTACTTCAAAACCAACAAATTAAATAAGCAAAATGGCGGATTGTGTCAGCGCTACTGAAGTAGCAATCGTGTCCTGGCCGAAAACTATTTTAGCGCTTGTAAGCACTTGCTAGCGCTTTTTTCTGCCAAACGCACCCAATGATTGTGATTGGCTCACAGCTTCAACGCATATACAGTTGAGCCTCGATAATCCGAACCCCCGATGATTCGAACGCTTCTATAATCCAAACGACCTGCTCGAGTAGATATTTCAATTTAAAAAAAATATTGCGTAAATTGAGGGATAAAGCATTTTCCTTGTCATTAAACACCATTTGTCAAAGCGTTATACTAAATTTTTTTACAATATGTAATGATTAAAATTTGTATTCACTTTCAATTATAAAATATGTTTCGTATCAAAAAACACCTTTTAAAATAATAGTAATAATCCTTATTGATAAAATACTACATGGACAAAAATGTACAGTGGTCAACAGCCCCTAAACTAGGGATGTTATACCTGTATTTCAGTGGCCATTTTATAAATATATCTACATACTATAATCCGAACAGGGTGTAAATTTTGTGTGTACGGATTATCAAGACCATACTGTAATGACGTCACAACCAATTACAAGTCTTTTTATTGAAAAATGTAACAATTCTTTATTAAGGGGTATCCCTGACCAAAATGTTGCGAAAGTGCGTTTTTCAGACTCTATTATCTCATTAGTTATGAAAAA